AATAGGTGCAGCATAAATAGCAAAAGTTGATCCTTCTTTTGCTGCGTGTATAAATGCTTTTGCACCTATAAGTGCGAGTTTTACTATACTAGACTCATGGTTTTTTACTTGATTAATAGAACTGTTACTAATGCTCTGAGGAAAATCAAGTTTACGAGAAATCCAATCTATTCGAGGATTATACTTTTCTAACCATGATAAGCCTAAAATTACTGGATTAGAGGGAGATTTAATTATATTAAAAATTACGCAACTACTATGACCATTTATTACTACATCTACAGGAAGTGTTTCGTGAGTTACATCTCCAGAAGACAACGGACGACCATCTATGACTTCTACGTGTACAGGTTTAGTTTTTTGTATTAATGATATTCTATGACATCTAGCAAATTCTTCATCTAAAAAACAAGATGAGGCTCCTGAATCTACCAAGGCAGAGGCTTTGTAATTATTAGGTCCTAAACGCACATCTATTATAAAACAAGGAGATGGTTCTGAGGAGAGGATAGGACCTTCATTAGAAGTTGTACAAGATTCCAGCCGCACGGTCTCTATTGTAGCTGGACGTACTCGTTTTCTGACATACTGTCTTCTTTGACAGCCGTACTCCTCATTTTGTAGTTACGTCGCTTCTTTGGACAATGTTGAGCAGTGTGCTTAGGTTCTCCACAATATAAGCACAATCCTTCTTGTCGACGACGAGACTTTTCTTGCTCAATAAGAGGTTTGAAACGTACCGCATCAATTTGCATATCCTCTACTTCTGAAGGTATGTGTTGAGGAGACGTCGGTGTTGCCATTGAATTGTAGTAACGTTAAGGCCCACTTGTGCGACTCTCGGATCGAAATTCAAAAAGTCGATTGTCGCACTTCACAGCAAAGTCAATTGCTTGACTCAATGTTTGAGGATCAGGTAAATTAAGCATCAATTTCTTTAGCTCATATTGTAATCCGTAGAGAAATTGACTCACAAGTGCGGCATCATCCCACTTGATATCAGTTGCAAGTTGTCGAAATTGCGAAGCATATAATGTTACTGATCGATTGCCTTGTCGCAAAATACGGATCTTGTTGGTTGCAACACGAATTGCATCATGTTCTCCAAACATGGATCGAAACTCCGCCAAAAAAGCCTCCAGATTATCCAATATTGGATCTCGTCGTTCAAGAAAAGATGAAAACCATGACAATGCTGAACCTGAAAGAAGTGTACCAATGAATCTAACTTGTGACCCTGGAGTTGGATAGCTCTGGGGTTGAAGTTCAATCACTAGTTGGACCTGATTGATGAATCCTCGAAACTTGGATCTGGTACCATCAAACTTCTCGGGCAAGGCAACTCTCGGTTCTCTAACACTCGAAGGGTGTTCCATTCTGGGAGAAGGGACATGGTTTGGTGCAGATGTTGAAGCAGCCCCAATCATCTCTATATCTTCACTTCCTACCATTCTTGTTGCTCCTTGTGGTGGTAAATTGAGTTGATACATCGCAAGCATTAACTCCCTCAATTGTTCTTGCATCTGTGCCATTGCACTCTTCATTTCAACAAGCTCTGCCATAGTAGCACTTAGAAAAGAGAAGATGTCTAATAACGCTCAAAACAAATAGAAGAGAGGAATTGATAACAAAGAAAATACTAAGAACAATATCAGTTTAAAAGAGGGTAATCCGCAACTTCTAATGCGCTTATGTCTTATCAAGAAAAAGGGGTAATCCACTCTTAATCAAGAAAAGACAAAGCTCTGATATTGTAAGTGTACTCTTGTCAATCTGTCAAGGACAAGAACTCGATGAAAGCTAAAGAGTAAGTGAGACTTTTCTCAAAAAAGAAATAGGACAAAATAGAAATATGTATATTAAGAAAGAAACTGGAATGGCTATTGCCAAAATACAAGAAAACTAGAGACCCTTGAAACTAGACTAGAAGCAAGAAAAGAGTTGACAAGAGTGAAGAGGGCTTCACTCTTGCCTCTATATATACTATCTAACTAGAAGCCACGTGGCGATGTTCTATAAGACCTCCAATATATGTTGACTTTCTAAGCCACATGCCTTTGCTTGCAAGGCAAGTTTTCTATGGATGGACCACGTAGTTAGCTTGTTCTTTAAGCTTCCAACATGTGTGGCACATGACTAACTTGTTGACCAAGTTTCTAACCTAAAAGTCAACTATAGACTCCTATAAAGTCAAAGCAGCGTCTATGAAGCTTCTAAGAAGCTTCTCTAGAAGATATTACACAATTAACCTACTTTTATCTACTTTTATATACTTTTATCTATTCATATAGGTAATTATATGTATGTCCGTGACAATTACTTCTATTAACTTTCTTTGTATTGATATTTTTTAAATTTGTGCATTGTAGACTCAATTTAAGTTCTATTTTAATAATATTTTTTCATATTTTTATTAAAATTGTAGTAGTAATCTTTAAATATCAATCATCTTTATCTTAATGAATTATGGATGTATTACAAAATTTTAATATGTAATATAATTTACTTGTTGAAATTTCAAAAATTATATTTAATTTCTAAAAAATGTATAGTTCTTGATAAAAAAAATCCTCTCTATATTGAGTAACAAAAGGATAATCTTTAAATACACCAACTAATTTTTGACAACAAAGAGGGTAGAGATTTCAAGAACTTTATTTTTGTACTCAACAACAAAAATACTATTCTTATAATCAATAGAATTCAACAATAACACTAAGTGAGTAATCAATAAGATATTTTGTTTTTATTTTATTTATTTTATTTTTTATTGTTATATATTTATAGTATATTAATAATTTTGAGAGATTAAATCTTTTTACCAATAGATTCTTAATTTTTATATCTTGGTATTTGTTATATAGAACCAAGTAGGAAAAATAGTGTTAGTAAAGAAATAAAAAAAGATGTAAAAAGAATTGATTCAATTGACTATTTCCAAACAATTAATTATAGATATGTTGTAACTTTTTCTTAGCTATTGCTTTTTCATCTATATCTAAATTTGACCTTCTAAGTCTATGATATCAATTATCTTTTCTTTAAAGGCTCTTCTTTTGCCCCTCCTCTTAAACCTCTAGTTCTTAATGTAGTTGACTTCTATTAGACTTATGTTACTATAATAATTCTTGTATCAATTCTATCATTTGATGCTTCACATTGAAGATTATAAACTTGGTTTGCTTGCACTTGTTTGTGCACCAAATAACAACAATTTAATTCTATAATTTAATAAGAGATTATAATTGTAGCTTGTGCTTACTTATGTGCTAAATAACAACAAATCAATGCTAAAATTTAAGAAGAGATTACAATTTTTGTAATCTTATGCTTCATAATTGTGGTTGCAATTGTAACAAAGATAACAATAGATATTTGGAACTACAAAAAAAATGCTAGGATGCAAAAATAAACTCAAATTACAAGCCAACATTGATGCTATAAAGCATTGTTATTGATGTTGGTGTTAATGTTGATGCAAATCTAATTCTATAGCTTTTAACGGGCTTACTGCTTGAAGATTGAAGATTTGTCACCCTGATGCAATCTTTGTAATTGAAAACAATAATTGAAGACTTACAATTGTAGTAATTGTAGTAATATATCATTTCTAATTATATGATTATTTAGAAAGAAATTTTAATATAATAGTAGATCAAATATCAATTTTGATAGCAAAAAATAAATATCAAATAATATATATATATATATATATATATATATATATATACATACATATTTAAAATGCTATATTTATTTATTTATTTAATTAAAAATTAAAAATTAAACATGTAATATTTTAGTTATATAATTATTTTCATCTAATAAAATAAAAAGTACAAAACATAAAATAAAATAATTTCACAAGTAAGAAACTTTACATTGAATTCTAATATATTTATTATAGAATTTAAATTTTTATTTTAAAATAATAGATACATAAGATTAGCACATATTTTACAACTTTCTAAACAACATTTTCTATTTTTTTGTACACTTTATCATATATCTATATCCTAACTTATACATTACTATCAAAAAATCTTAAGTACGCATAAAAGAATTTTTAGGCAAATACTTCCTTTTTACAATGTAGACACCTTTCTTGTATTACATGGATATCTTCTTATGCTATGCACCCTTGTGTACATATTATAAATTTTTTTAGCTATAATAATAATAATAATAATAATAAATAGTAATATTTTTACTATAATATCTCCTAAATGAAATTAATAAGTGGTTTAAAGAAAATAGAAGATTTACATACAATTTATTATAAAATTTCTTAAATTTAATCAAGAAAAGAAAGAAAAAAGAAAAAGAAAAAGAAAGAAGTGCCATGAATCATTGCACACATATCTTTTACTATAAATTTACATTAATTTTTTCTAGTGCAAATAAGAGTTTTATTGTATGTATGCAAGAGTGTGTGGCACAAAGGTGACCAAGGAATAAAAGGAGGGTGTCCACCTTACAATTCCTTAAATAAAATCATAAACAATTTCGATTTTATATATATATATATATATATATATATATATATATCTTGAGAACAACACTACAAAATTTTGTAATAATTCAAACATATTTGTGTCAATTAATAAATTTCCACGTAGGATTTCACAGGGTTCTACCAATCTAGCCGTGACTAAACCAATAGTCGAAATCCGACGTGGCATCGCGCGGTAGAGTAGGATCGGTGAAGCCGGACGTAAGACCGTCCTCGTGGGGCCACAAGCTTCTTGCCCGAAGGACGACCGGTCACTCTGATCTATCTGGCTGATGACGTGGCGGTTTCCGGTGATAGACAGAAAAGAGGGGGCGAGCGAGCTCTCGTGCTTGAAGCTCCCGTTTCGAGCAGCTCCTCTGCCTCGCATCGCTGTCTGCCCTCGACGCAATCGCTCCTGCATCGATCCTCTCGCATCTGCCGCGGTCGCTGCTTTTTCCCGCTTCATTTCAGGGTAAATATCACACTATTTGGTTCTTTCTCGCGGCAGTCTCGCCCGTTTTTGTCTCCCTTTGTCAATGTTCGGTTGCATACGCCGAGGTTTCAGGGTTCTTTTCTGTTGAGCTGCGCCACGCGGGGCGTTGAGTGTTACCTGTGTCGGAGCTAGTCGGCGATTGTAGCTCGGTGCGCTTTAGGATTGATTTTGGTTGATTTTTGAGTTGGGGAGCGGGTTTGGGATGGTGTGCGGTTTCGGGATCATTGAAGATCAGTTGATGCGGGGGATGTCACGGTGCGTGGATTGGTTTGAATTCGGAATTTTGGGTGCGTTTTTTGAAGGGGAGTAATTAAGACATGCGTCATTTTGGGATTGGTCTTTAGGAGGACTGTTATTGTGATCGTTGCATTAGATCTGGCGATGATTTTCCTGAAGAATTCTAGGCTTGTTCTGGATTTTTGTGTAAAATGAAAGGTTTTGCGTATTCTATATCCGTGGCTCCTCACTTTTGTTCCTGAATGCAATGGTTGTGGTGTGCTTCGTTATTGAATTGAATTTCGGTGTCAGGAACTTGGAGACTTGCATGATATGTGTCCACGTGCTTTGAAGTACTATATGTCGGTATCTGTGATTGGGAGGGGATGGAAGAGAGAGTTGATCATAGGGTCAGGAGGATGTAACAATAGAATGTTTGTTCTTGAAAATTATCAATTTACTTCTTGAAGTGCCCAGGTCGCTTTAGCTTGGGATTCCTGTTGAATACCAAATCCTTAAAGAACACGGTCGGAGTAGCAGTACGAACTCGATTTGTCAGATTCCAGGGTTTCGAAGTTATAATGTGATAGAGTACGAAGTAGGGAATCAAAGAAGTCAGGGTTACTTTTGAACTTGGAAACCCTTTCGTTGTGTCTTGGATTTTGTAAGTGCTGATTTTCTTGTTCAGGGCTTTTTCGAGGGATTATATTAAGACTTGATGCTCTGAATCTTAAAGATTCTCATTTCAGGCATTTTCTTAATTTGTGTTGTACTTGTTGGGCAGCCAACTTTAGTTTTTGAAAAGTTTGCATTTGGGGAGCCCTTGAAAGCAGGTTAAAATGGTCGCCAAAGATGAAGCTACTGGAGGTTACGAGTGCCAGCCACTGCTTGGTATGCGCATTAGAAACTTACTTTGGTCCCACCTACCATTCTCTCTTGATTCCACGATGCCTTTCATTACGAAATAATAGCTTTGACAAGTACTGATCATCTGGTCCTTGCTTTTGTAGCTTCTGCTCTTTACATGACCACATGCTTAGAATGTTTCTTTGGTATAATCTTAGTTGTGTTGTGTTAGAGCTTCCGACGTTTGCATAAGGGCGTTCCTTGAAGGCGGTGAAGACGTTTATCGCTCTTTTAGCTTCTGACGTGTATCATAATTTTGTGCAGAGTATCGAACTGTATCCGGTGTAGCAGGGCCACTTGTCATTCTAGAGAAAGTCAAGGTTAGCTAGTTCGCATCAAAGGATGTATGCTTTTGGTTTCAATCATCTTCTCTCGATCAATTTGTATTCGTTGCGGCGGAAACTAAAATCCGTGGCATTGGATATGACAGGGACCTAAGTACCAAGAAATTGTGAACCTTCGTTTGGGTGATGGCACGCGTCGAAGGGGTCAGGTTCTGGAGGTGGATGGTGACCGAGCTGTCGTGCAGGTTCGCATTGATTTCTGATTCATGAAAAGCTGAAGTCCCAGTAAAACTTATTTCTCTCTAGGTCAACGTTTGATACCTAACTGGAACTTGCGCAATAAGTGGTTTGCAAAGGGTTTTAGACTGATTGATAATTCATTCTCTCTTCAGGTTTTTGAAGGAACCTCGGGTATCGATAACAAGCACACTACCATTGAGTTCACTGGAGAGGTAACTTGATTCTTCTCACATCTTTTCCAGTCCTTTATGTACTTCACTTAAATGCATCCGACTATAATTGATTGTAACTTACTTTGTATGGCTTGCTTTATTCACTTGAACTAAAAATGAAAATGTACTGTACTTGTTACTCTGGTCTTGCGAGTTTCATTGTCCGAATGATATTCTATTTTTCTATGGATCGCGGTTGGGCCGACATGTGTTTACTACTCGATTATCGACCTGCAGTTGGTTCTTGTTGTGGTTTAGGTGCTGAAAACACCAGTCTCGTTAGACATGCTGGGACGTATTTTCAATGGTTCTGGCAAACCTATTGACAACGGCCCTCCAATTCTTGCAGAAGCTTATCTGGACATTTCAGGTACTTCCCCTTACACTACCCACATTCTACTCATTAGCCGCAGGCTCTTGGAACCTTCGGAAAATTTTGAAGTAAATATGTTTAATATTATATTCGATCTGATCACAGGTGCATCGATCAATCCTAGTGAGCGGACGTACCCAGAGGAGATGATTCAAACAGGAATATCTACGATTGATGTCATGAACTCTATTGCTCGAGGGCAAAAGATCCCTCTCTTTTCTGCTGCTGGTCTTCCTCACAACGAGATTGCTGCACAAATCTGTCGGCAAGCTGGCCTTGTCCAGCGGTTGGAGAAGGAGAAAAATCTCTTGGAGGATGAGCCCGGAGAAGACAACTTCTGTATTGTTTTCGCCGCTATGGGAGTGAACATGGAAACTGCCACTTTCTTCAAACGCGATTTTGAAGAAAATGGATCCATGGAGAGAGTGACACTTTTTCTCAATTTGGTATGTACATCTTCAGTTTTCTTTTATCGTCGATTTTCACCACATTTTTGGATTATATATGGAACTTCATCCAGTTTCTTTTCGTAATGGAAGAGTCGTCTGTTTTGAGACTTCACAAAGTCAATTTTCCTCCAGTCCTTGCGTTTTTTTCCTGGATTAAGTTCTGGAATTTTATTTTAGGATCGTCTTGGGCTTTCAGGCTAATGATCCAACAATTGAGCGTATTATCACACCTCGAATTGCACTTACAACTGCTGAGTACTACGCTTATGAGTGTGGAAAGCACGTTCTGGTCATCCTGACGGATATGAGTTCATACGCAGATGCATTGCGTGAGGTACCAGTCTTTACCTTAAAGATCTGCTTGCCCTTGTGGTATGGTACTTCTGACTCTGTTTTTGGTTTTTGAAATGTTAGTGTTCTAAAAAATGCCCCTCTATTTTGTTGGTTCTAAGTCTGCACCTTTAGTATGCCAGAATGACATATTCTTATGATCCTTAACTATGCGAACAGGTTTCTGCAGCTCGTGAAGAAGTACCTGGGCGTCGTGGATATCCTGGTTACATGTACACGGATCTTGCCACTATTTACGAACGTGCTGGGCGAATTGAGGGCCGCAAAGGGTCTATCACTCAGATTCCCATTCTAACTATGCCTAACGATGGTTAGTTGCATCCTCCATTTATCACTAATTTCTTATATTAGTGGACTTAGTGATGGAGAACTACCCTTATTTGATACTTTGTTTCTGTCCTTACTTGACCTTCTACAGGCCTTAATTTATTTCTTTGAATTGTGATTTTTTTTTCTTTAGGTTACTGAGTTTCGTGTATGTCGTACTTTTTGCAGATATTACCCATCCTATTCCTGATCTTACAGGATACATTACAGAAGGTCAAATTTACGTGGATCGGCAGTTACAAAATAGACAGGTATTGGTTCTAACTTCGAGCCAGGCTTAACAATACTCATATTCTTGCATCCAGTTTCATCATAGGAGATACTTCTTCCCATTTGATCGTTAGTGATGGAAGGTTGTAAGCCTTTAGTTGATCTAATGTAATGATGATGATGCAGATCTACCCACCTATCAATGTGCTGCCATCTCTGTCGCGATTGATGAAGGTGCGGCCTTATATTATATCCTTGCGTTTGTTATGACCAGCGTTTTCTTTATCTTCAGTATACTTATTCGTGCCCACTACATTTTTCAAGTCACAGAGTGAACCTTATACTATACACGATGTTGTCCTTGTGTTTTTGTACGACCTACTTTGTTATCTACTCGTTGTTGGATTTGTGTCAACCTAGACAATAGCACGTTCCATCTGATGCTGATGAAGCTAGTTTGCTCTTGCAGAGTGCTATAGGACAGGGGATGACTCGAAAGGATCATTCCGAAGTTTCCAATCAGGTTCATACTACATACTCAAGCTTTGCTTTGGTCACTCTTAATAGACCCATTCAGGACTTGGATTTCGAATCTGTTGGAAAAGCTGGTTTCCTTTTCTTGATTTCATTAATCTCCTACTGTACTTTGACGTGTAAGAGCATTGAGAATATGTAATTTTTATTTTATTTCAAGTAACTTCCTCAATTTTTAATGTTCAATGTTGATAATTAACTCTGTGACAATGGGGAGTTTGGATTTGACAAGTCGTTGATTCATTGCAGTTGTACGCAAATTATGCTATCGGGAAGGATGTGCAAGCCATGAAGGCTGTGGTGGGAGAGGAAGCCTTGTCTTCAGAAGATCTGGTACCTGTTGCTTCATATTTTCTGTTTATGATATTTCATCATTTGATGCTCTCTGTTATCCTGTAGAGCTTAGTTTACTGAGTCAGATCTGTCTGCGTGATAATGACTTCAAATTGTTACTTGACAGTTGTATCTCGAGTTCCTTGACAAGTTCGAGCGGAAGTTTGTCGCCCAAGGTCCTTATGATACCCGTGACATTTTCCAGTCACTGGACCTTGCCTGGTCATTGCTTCGAATTTTCCCTCGGGAGCTTCTGCGTCGTATACCTGCCAAGACCCTAGATGAATTTTACAGCCGGAACTCAGACAATTAATTGGTCTGGCGGAGCTTTGGATTCAAATAGGGTGTATCTCTCCTAGCCTAGAATTCGTGTGTTTTTCTTTTTTGTAATGTTGCTTCACCGAAGTATTTGAGCATGCTCGGTAGACTTGTTCGTCTTTCTACCGCAAGGTGCCCTCGATCAGGTTCTGCAATTCCCTGATCTTAGCAAAGAGCACTGAATTTTGGTGGAAACGCTGGTGGTGGTCATTGTCAAGTGTGCGACAAGTTTGGCTTTTGGGTAGACAGGAACTATAAAAGTAGGAAAATATTCTTTGCTAGTACTAACAGACCGTTGCTTACTAGCTTTATAAACTGTTATGTGTTTCCAAGCTTTAACCTTGTGGAATTCTCAACTTTTATCTTGTGAACCATGTCCTTACACCAGAGCTGAGTGGATAAGAAAATGATGAGATTCCTTTTTACAATTTACAACCATTATCCATGTAAACATTTGTATAGACGTTTTTATATATTTAAGTTCAGATATATTTAAATATTTTTATCAAATACAATAGATATGTTGTGTACATGCACATCATACATAAAATTATATCTTGTTGGGATTTTCAACCCAAACATTCTTCTTGGATCTGACAGAGATAAACTGTGAATGTATGCTTAGCGTGATATGTTTTTTATTTGTTTGTGCTTTTTTTTTATCTCTGTTTCTAACAGCATAAAACTTGACCTCATCCCTTTCCAGATAAAACATTGAGAAATAGCAATGACGACGGGCCGGGCGGAGGGCACGCTCCCAGCGCGGTGCGAGGATGAGTGGGCAGCTCGTGAACGCGGGAGGGGAGGGGAAGGGGGGATGCGTGGCTGGGGTTGGGGCAGGGGAGTGCGGCATATTCCAGGGCTCCAGGAAGGAAACAAGGGAACGGAACTAAGAGTTTATCGCCACGGAGCACGGCGGACGAATCGAGGGCACTAGTACTACCGATGGCGTTGTGGGAATTCTCATCGCGGCCGTGGAATGGGAGTATTTGTAGGATTTTGCTAGAGTGGGGCGGGGAGGTGTGAGATGGATTGCGCTGCGAGGCCGAGGAATGCGAGCAATTTCGGGAGCGTAGGGTTTTGACTCTTCGCACTGAGGTGAGTGCGTCGCGCTGTTCGTTGCGGTGGTGTGAAGTTGAAGTGCATGCGTTGGATGTTTATGAGGTGGGTTTGAGGTTTTGGTGGCTTCTAAGTGAAGCGGATGCCGAAGTTTAGATTCTCTCCCGAAGTTTTGACAAAGGCGGGATATGTTGTAGGGGTTTTTATAGTTTGGTATATACCTGTACCTGGGTGGATGAATTTTGAAGGTTGTGTTGTGTTTGCAACGAAGACGAAAACTTGCTCCAATTTAGTATCTGTTAGAAGAATGCATCGCGAAGATATTTGACGACGTCCTCTCCTCTGAACAGCCGTAGCAAAGATCCGTGGTGAATGCGTGCACATGATTGACGTTATGCCTGGTGCAGAAGAGCATACGTGATGACACGAGACTGTACTGTGCGCAACCCTGTACGGATAATTTCGCAAGTGAAACGAACATGAGAATCGTACAAGCGGATTGTTGACAATTTTTGAAGCAGTGTGTTGTTAACCTCAATATTTCATAGCAGGCGTAGGTCCGAATTTGGAGGGGGTGCATAACAATTCGGGCTCCTATGTACATGTTTGCAGCATTTGCTATGAAAGCTTCAGAATGTGGGCATAGTTATGGTGATTTAATAGGAGGGATTGTGTTAAGAATTTGTAGTACTCCCGTGGGACCACAAACAGGTGGTGTTCACTAGTTTTTGTTTTTCCCTTTTTGTCTTTGTTTGCTTGTTTCATTTTTTTTCTTGACTTGTTTTTTGAAAGCCACACTATGATTCTTTTTTCAGAATTGTTACCCGGAACGACAAAACCGATCTTGATTCTAGGCAGGAGCTAGTATACTGCAAGGGGATGCACAAATGAGAAAAGAGATGCCTGCAGCAATATTTTGGATTATAGGAATTCTGTCTGATTTCATCTTTCTTAGTTTTAGGTTTGCTACCGACACTTGGCATTTTTCATAATTTTATGGTTATCTCGCGCTATTAAAAGTGCCGCACAGTTTGGGTGTGATTAAACTTGGCGAGCCACTTGCCAGGGCCGAGTTGTCTACGAGAGCCTCCCAGGAACACCTAACATAGAACATCTTACATATTGCATGGCACATGTCTATCTGTCATGCAGTATGGCATATTTTAGTGACGGCTAGTGGCAAGTGGCAACTTGGTTTTACAAGAACGATGAGATTGAGACATCCGAGATATGCTAGGATTATGTTCTACTTGTGATGGATCCGATGGTGCTTTGCAAACGCTAACTTAGTCTTTGTGTCACTGTTTCACGCACAGAGAGTGCAATGGTGGTGGAATTGGTCATCTCTTGTTTGCCAATAGTTGGTGCTTGGCAATGCAGGTGGCAGTGGAATCTTATTGATAGCTGGGTACGAAGTCCTCAAAGGGTATCGATGATACATGATAGCGGTGGACACGGTCTGTATGTGGGTGGCATCGATGACACAACAGGGTGTAGACATCCACAGCCACAGCGTCAGGGAGCTCATTCGATGATAGACTTTTTCATGAGGAGGCGGAGAGGTAGCACATCCAACAACAAGAGGAGAGCGGAGGGCGCCGCTGTGAAAGTTTGTTTTGGGTTTTTTTTTCTTTTGTCGGCACAAGATTAGAGGAGACGAGCAGATCAGGAGATTGAGCAGGTGGTAGGCAAGGACTAGGCAGTGGCTCGGGAATTTTTGGAGGTGTAGGTAGGAGCTGTAGTAGTGGGTCTTGTGTCGTTGGGAAGCTCCGACACATGATTCTAGTAGTGGTACGGACATTCTGGGTAGATCGACATTGAATGCATACATTGCAGAAGTTGAATATTGTGATTCGAATGTCAAGAATTGCTGTGCGAGCTTTCTGCCTTGTGCTGTTGTGAACGTTGCTAGTTGTTGTCAAGAGCTTGGATAGAATGATAGAATAATATACGAGTGTCTGATACAGATAGAATTTGCCATCTATTGTGAGTGGGTTCATTGTCGGAGGGCGTTGGATATTGTTCGATCAATTTGTTAGTTCTAGTGAATTTGGGGGTGGAATTTCTGAAGGTAGGAGTCGCTTGATGTTAGCTTCCAGGAAAGATTAGGATCATGAAAGTAGGAACTAAGAAGAATTTGTGGCAACGAATTTAATTAACGACTGTTGCAAGGCTTGGGGAGTTTGGATCACATAATTTAGGAGGAGCAATTGTGAGAACTCAATTGTTGGATTGTCGTGAATGTATTGTGTTGCTGAAGCTACATGAATAGTGGTTCCAACAAGCTAAACGTCGTGGAGATAGGAGTGTTGGAGCCGTGAAGGTGAAGGGAGGCCCTCGAGCAAACAGGTTGTATGTAGATTGTGAGCGTTAAATAAGTGGAGCATTGAAGTGAAGAAAAGAGAAAGAAAAATTGGATTTATGAGTTTTTAGGAGTGAGTTGGTAAGTGATCTAATTTGTGATTTTTGTTATTTACTTGTTTATATATTTATTCAAAATGTTTTAGTGATTGATAATTAGGTTAAAGATTTTTGAGGGCTAAAGATATATAGTTAGAATGATATTTGGGTTGTCTAAGATAATAGATGATGTGCTTGGTGTAGTGATGTAGATAGAAGGGTATAGAATATGGTAAATCTAATGTACAATTGTGAATATATGTGAACAGGTTGAATTTTAGAATATTTGTGAGCAAGTCAACATGGCATATCTTTTGGAAGTTGATGAAATATTTTTTGGGAATAATGTCCTTATTATGTATATGGAAAGAAAGATATCTAACTAGTATGAAACAATCTAATGATTGTTTCAAAGATATTAGCACAATATCAAACATAGAAGGTATTGGTGGAGATGTTTGGGGAGAATGTCAAGCCTATATTGTAGCATTGAAGGTCTTGTTGAAGAAAGAAGACATATTGAACAAAAACCAACGTAAAATTTTATGCAATAAGATTGAACATGTTATGAAGGTGTATGACTACTTTATGACTTGCAACAATGATGGATTGAAGTATGGAGAATTATTGAGGGAGTTATTGATTGTAATGAATAAAGCTTATTTATTGGTGAAAAATTGTGGAAAAAAGAAATGGTGTAAAGCAGCAATGATTCAATTGAAGAACAAAGAGACCTTTAGAGAATTACTTTTGGACTAAAAGTATTGTTATGAAGAAGCAACTAATGTGTTTATGAAGGATTTTGGTAAAATATTTGAAGACAAAGTATTTGGGAATTTTGATGTTGCAAATAATAATGAAATAGAAGATGATGAAAGATGTTTATATGAAAAGTTGATTCTTTCAAATAAGAAAGAAAATTTTGAATTGGTAAAGTATCTATTACAAAGATTGAAAGACTTACATTGCATAGAAAGTGGAGAAGTGGATGATTTGAAATTATCATCAAATATGAAAAGTGTTGATTTCATAAAACTCATAGGTAAAGGATCCTATGGATTAGTGCATAAATCAAAGTGGTTTGGACTTTTGTGTACAACCAAAAAGATGGGAAGTATGCATGCAAAATCTCATTAAAGAAGCAAGCATCCTAGCACGTTTAAGCCATTCTAACTTGATATCATATTATTTTGCAACGAAAAGTATTAGAGGTGAAAATAGTGGATGTTCTTTATCTAAAATGAAAAATAATCATGTATATTTGGGGATGGAATTGATGCAAAGAAGTCTAAGGGATATATTAAAAACAAATGGAGAGGCATCTTACACATATTTGATTGATATCATGTATCAAATTGCAAGAGGGATGTATTATTTGCATGACATGCACATTGCACATCGTGATTTAAAGCATGAAAATATTTTGGTGAATATTGTGGAAAAGAAAGTGATGAATAAGATTGTGCAATATGCTATTGTGAAAGTGATTGATTTTAGAATATATAAGATTGAAGTTGGTAGCAATCCAAAATCAATTGAGAATAATAATATTTATGGTAGCACGACTTACATGGCTCTAGAGGTATTGAAGAATAAATATGAAAGAATGACAATGTGCTCTTTTGATGCAGATGTGTTTTCATTTGCAATGGTGTGTTATAAGATTCTTTTGAAAAGAGATCGATTTGATAACTGTAAGAGAGATGAGATATTGGAAAGAATAGAAAGAGGTGAAAGACCATAATTACCTTCAAATTGTGATGAATTGACAGAGCTTATTGAAGAATGTTGGAACTTAAATCCATCAAATCAACCTTAGTTTGCAAAAATTTGTGAAAGATTGAGAGTATTGAAGAAAAAAATTATGGGTGGAGATTTTGTGGCTATAACACCATATTATGGTGCTTCAATGAACAAAAGTCATGAAAATATAGAATTACAACAAACTTCCAACAAAGTGCTTGTTTCAAACCCAATTCTATTAAATGAGGTAATAATATGTTGAAGTGATTTGATTTATTAGAGTTTTAATCTGTACACAAGCTTACATGATGTGGTATTGGTTAATTGTAGTAAAAAGAGTGCTAGTTTGAAGATCTAGATTTGAATTTAGTATGTGTTATATGTGTATTTATTTTACTTGTAGTGTTGATGCTTAATTTAATTTCTTATTGTAGGTTGACATAGGTGAAGAAGTGCTTGGTAGAAAGCAATGCTTATTGCAAATATCAAGCTTGTGTGTAAGTAAAGTGAAGGCATTGTATCTTGTTGGAATGGGTGGAATAGACAAGACAATAATAGCAAAGGCAGCATTGAATGATGTGAAGCACATGTATGATGCTTCATGCTTTATTGAGTGTGATGAAATTAATAATGATTGTTATAAAATTGCTTGCCAAATCTTAGAACAATTGAAAGTTGAAACAAAACCAAAGGACTTGAATGAAGCACAAGAAAAGTTGAAATCATTTGTGATTAAAAAGAAAGTCATCATAGTACTTGATAATTTGAAAAATCAAAGTCAAATTGAAGATGTTGTGGCTATGGATGATTTATTTGCTATGAATGGCAATACATTAATTGTGACAACTCGAGATTGGAAAGTTTTGGAATATTGTGGTAATAAATTTTGTAAAGTAAATGTTGAAGAACTTGATGAAAAAACAAGTTGGAGATTATTTATCACTCATTCTTGTGGATCCCAAGACAAGTTGCTTGATGAACTTGTTGAAGTTAGCAAAAAGATTATAAAAGTGTGCAATGGCCTACCATTGAGCTTTAAAGTTATAGGTGCATATTTAAAAGAGAAGAAGAGGTTGAGATATTGGGAGCGAGCTTTTCAAAGGTTGAAGAGGGAAAGAGAGTTGGATGGAGATGAAAAGAATAGTCACTACAAGCTTTGGAATATATTAAGAATAAGTTTTGATAACTTGAGAGTTGAAGAAAAGAAAATATTTTTAGAGATATGTTGTTTTTTTAGTAATGATGTGTATTTACAAGGCATGTTGAAAGAAAGAGCATTGCCAATATGGTTCAACATAGAAGAAAAAAGAATGGAAGATGTGGAATATTCATTAAATAGATTGGTTAATCAATCATCGATAAAGATAGATAAAGATGGAATTATAAAAGTACATAATGTCATGATGTAATACGACTATACAATAAAATTATAATTAAAATTGAATTTCTAATTAATATCTAATTATCTTAGTTCAATTATAATTTGAGATATCTAAAAATGGCTTTTATAAAAACCTCTTAGGTTATTTTCTTATCTTAATAGTTAGTTGGTTGAAGGTTAATTAATAATTTTACCTTCTAGGTTGTAGAGACTCTTCTACTACTTTAGAAAGACCATAAATTGATAAAATCATGATAGAAGAGCTAAATGGTTGGTATGGTTTATACTAAGGTCAAGTTAAGGATAGAATTGGGTTAAAAAATCCTTAGGATAAGTTAGATTGATACCCGGGGGTCGACCATTTGTGAGACAGGGTCGAAATGAAACCTCTAGTCATTAAAACGACCGCTGAGGGCAAATTAGGGGATCATTTGAAGATCGGAGGTAAGGATTTGAGAGCTAGCTTGAATTTCTTTCCAAAGAAAACTTGAAGATCAAGCCACACACCAATTTTAAGATAAAGTTAATGGTTGGAAAGAAAGAAATCATTGCTAGGATTTCTACTTCACTTTTAAAGTTGGTGGCCAAGTGACATTAGTGCAATCTTTGGAGGTTTTCTCACAATCTGTAAGTTGGATTGGGTTAAAAATTCTTGAGCATATAGAAGACTTATATTGACAATTGCATGCAAAATTTCACATCAAGTGTACGGTCGGATTGGATGTTATAGCTTGTTAAAGCTCATTGATTAGAATTGGGACTTACAAGAAAATCTAAATTGCTTAAATATGAAAGTAATAAGATAATTGGGATTTATGTATGGTTAAGATTACTAAGAAGAGTGTTTCAAGCACTTTTGAATTGAAATTTAGATTATATTCTTCTCGTATAGATGAAACCTACTAGGATTTCTTGACTACTTGTGAAATACAATCTCACCTTCCATAGCTAGGTGCTCGGTGCATTCCTGAGCAAAACAACACGTAATACGACAACGATCAACTACGAGATATGGATAGAAAGATTATTGAAATGGAAATGGAATATAAAGACACACGAATATGGAACATGAATGAAGAATCATTGAATAGAATTAGTGAAAAGGTAATAGACTTGACCATCATCCAAATGACATATACAAAACTAACAATGATAGGAAAGAACAAAGGTTTGAAGATTGGAGGTATAATATAATTGTATGATTTAGGTAATATTATGTATTAAAAATACATGTTGAGGCAAAGTTATTTATTGATATATTTAATTTATATTGCATTGAAATTTGTGTATGTATGAATTTTTCTAATGCAAAGAGTTTAATCTTGTAATGTGTTTGAATCATGTTATATCAAAGTTGGAGGGATTGTGTTGTAAAAATATAAATGACAAGAAGTTGAGTGAAATGAGAAATACATGTTTTTCATCACTTTCATTGTTAATCTATAATGATAGTGATATTAAATCAAGTCATGATTTGAGAAGTTTAGGCACATTTTTGAAGTTGATAAAACATTCAATGAACTTAAGATGTTTTCTACTAAATTGCTCAAGCTTAACATCATTGCCAAATGAATTGGACACCCTAACATCTTTGACTTCTTTAGATATGAGGAAGTATTCAAGCTTGATATTATTGCCAAATGAATTGGGCAACCTCACATCTTTGACTACTTTAAAAATATTTAGGTGCTCAAGGTTGACATCATTGCCAAATGAATTGAGCAACCTCACATCTTTGACTACTTCAAAAATGTTTGGTTGCTCAAGTTTAACATCTATACCAAATGAATTGGGCAACCTCACATCTTTGACTACCTTAGATATATATGAGTGCTCAAGCTTGACATCATTGCCAAATGAATTGAACAATCTCACATCTTTGACTATTTTAGATACAAAAAAGTGCTTACGCTTGACATCATTGCCAAATAAATTGGACAATCTCACATCTTTGACTACTTTAAAAATATTTGGATGCTCAAGTTTAACATCATTGCTAAATAAATTCGACAACTTTATATCTTTTATCACTTTAAAAATAATTGGGTGCTCAAGTTTAACATCACTACCAAATCAATAGGGCAATCTTATATCTTTGACTACTTTAAAAATACTTGGGTACTTAGGTTCAACATTATTGCCAAATGAATTGGACAAACTTACATCTTTGACTACTTTAATAATATCTTTGTATTCAAGGTTGATTTTATTGCCCAATGAATTGGACAACCTCACATCTTTGACTACTTTACAAATATCTGGGTGCTTAAACTTAATATCATTACCAAATGAATTGGACAACCTTGCATCTTTGACTACCTTAGATATGTATGCATGCTCAAGCTTGATATCATTATCAAATGAATTGGGCAACCTCACATCTTTGATTACTTTAAAAATATCTGAATGCTCAAACTTGACATCATTGCCAAATGAATTGGGCAACCTCACATCTTTGACTAATTTAAAAATATCTAGGTACTTAAGCTTAACATCATTGCCAAATGAATTAGGCAACCTTGCATCTTTGACTACCTTAGATATGTATGGGTGCTCAAGCTTGATATTATTGCCAAATGAATTAGACAATTTCAAATTTTTGACAACTTTAGATATGAGATCGTGTTCAAGGTTGACATCATTGCCAAATGAACTGGACAACCTCACATCTTTGATTACTTTAAAAATATCTAGGTGCTCAAGCTTAACATCATTGCCAAATAAATTAGGCAACCTCACATCTTTGACTACTTTAGATATGAAAGAGTGCTCAAGGTTGACATCATTGTCAAATGAATTGGACGACCTCACATCTTTGACTACTTTAAAAATATCTAGGTGCTCAAGTTTAATATCATTGCCAAATGAATTAGGCAACCTCATATCTTTGACTAACTTAGATATGTATGGCTGTTCAAGCTTAATATCATTACCAAATGAATTGGGAAATCTCACATCTTTGACTACTTTAAAAATATCTAAGTGCTCAAGCTTAATATCATTGCCAAATGAATTGGACAACTTCACATCTTTGACTACCTTTCATATGTACGGGTGTTCAAGGTTGACATCATTGCAAAATGAATTGGGCAACCTCACATCTTTGACTACCTTAGACATAAAGAGGTGCTCATGATTGACATTATTGCCACATAAAATAAGCTATTTCATATAATTATCTTAATTTAATATAAGAGGGTGCTTTAGCTTGATATTATTGACAAATAGAAATGCCAATGTATTGTTAGAAAGATATCTTTTAAAATAGGTCAAAAATTAATGGATAATATACTAATAAGATAGTAAGAAACATAAAATTAAGTCTAGATGAGATATTTACATAAACAAAGAGATAATTATAAACACATACTTAAATTATCTAATTTAATTAGTTTTTAAAGTTATTAACAAGTCTAAGATTTATAACTTATGATTTTCAAGTTAGAATCATGTAGATGTTTTTAGTTTGTTGACACATTTCTTTTTCAATTTTGACTTAATGCACCTTCTTATTTTTGAGGTTGATAATTCCAATAGTGTAAATATTTTATTCTATAAGATCTTAATTTAGAAGATATAGTTACTTTGACTTCGATTTTAGAATTTTGACTTTGATTTTAGAATTTTGACTTTTAGCATAGTAAATTCTTGAATTTGGAATATAAGATTATATAAATGTACTTAATTTTATTTGAATATTTATTTTTAAAATTTAACTTAATTTATTATAAGTCCTGCTATTATTGAATACCTTTGATATTATTAATTATTCAAGCTTAATATTCTTACTAAAAGAATTGGTCATTTTCACATCTTTGACTACCTTTAATATGATCAATTGCTCAAACTTGACATCATTGTTGAAATAATTAGATAATCTCACATCCTCGATTACTTATAGTTTGTGAAATTACTCAAGCTTGATATCATTGTTAAAAGATTTGACTACCTTTGATGTTAGGAATTCTCAAACTTGACATTATTACTAGAAGAATTGAATATCATCAATTTTTTGATTAATTTTGAAATGAGAGAGTATTCAAGCTTAACATCATTTCTAAATGAATTGGGCAATATCACATTATTGACTACCTTTGAAATAAGAAATTGATCAAGCTTAGCTTTTCTTTGATAAAGAGAGAGGAGGCATTACCCTATATAGCATAGTATATGTCCTATCTAATGGATGCTTAGAGAATTTTTTGAATTTTTTTTAAAGATTTTAACAACTCTAATGTTTAGCTTGATAAAACCATAATTACATATGTATGTTGTTTTAGATGTTGATAAAATAATTTTATTTTTAAAACATTTCTTATTCATGTATAAATATTATTTTTATTTTTTTCCTCAACAAAATAATTATAAATAATTAAAAGCTATGAATCTAAATTATTATTAAAGTAAAAATTATCATTTAATATTTTTTAATATAAAAATATTATTATCTTAAAATCTTTCAAAAGAATTAGTTGGCTATTATCTAAGATGAAATGTATTAATTAAAAAACATGTCAATTTTAACTTTTGAAGCTTATTACATAAAATAAAAGAAAAAAAAGTTGGTTTCTTAGATTGTGAATATTAAAATAACACAATTGAAAGTAACATACATATGATCAAGATATGAAGGTGCATACATAAGGAAATATAGGGAGTAAGATAACTCTAATCTTTCTCACTTATTATTTACAAATAAAAGATACAATGTATGATGTTTTTAATTGGTGCTTGTAAGATTGTATCTTGATATCTTTATCATCATGTGATTGGTCTTTATAAGATGTTTAAAAGTAATTGGTTGTTTTTAGATTAATGATGTTAATTTCCAAAAACCATCAACTCTACCTACTATAATGAGATATATATTTTTACGTTTTTGACTTCTAAAACTCAATAATTCTACCAACTATACAATCTAAGCCACTACTTTATAATTTTTTACTTTAGTTATAATAAACCTTTGAATATTATTGATCTATTATAATCAAAGCTTTTTACTAGTAATCATTTATATATTATAATTTGATCCAACTTATTTTAATATGTATATAAAAATTTTA